TTTGCTGTGGCCGGCAATTCTTGTTTAGTTATGAGTTGGTTGATCGTATTCTTGACGGAGTTTTGATTGCTGGCAGTGAGGTCTTTGTCGATCTTTTGATAAAAAGAGGTGTCAGAAAGTTGCCGCAAAGCTTCTTTTTGGTAGAGGTCGGTGCGCCAAACAACGACTGAGCCGCCCTTATCGGCCGCTTTGATAACTATGTCTTTGCGTTTTCTAAGACTTTTTAGAGCCGACCACTCTTCAGAAGAGAGATTAGAAAATTTGGTAATACGTTTGAAATTGAGTTTGTTGATATCGTGGCGGCATTTTTTGATAAAAAAGTCTAATGATGCGAATTGGCCCTCTGGGGGAGTCCATTTAGACTTTCGAGTCTGAAGTGTTTCGAAAGTGTCTTTGTTCGAGGTGTTAGAATCATCCTCTTTGTTGTGAAAAAAGGCTTTTAATTGAACACGGCGAAGGAATTTTTCTACGTCTTGTTTAATCGAGAATTCGTCCGTTGTTTTAGAAATGGGAACGAAATTTAAGCCCTTACAGAGGACGGGTTTTTCTGAATCGGAAAGTGAGAGGTTTTCTGGAATGGTAACTATCTTTTCATTCTTTATTAAATTTTAATTTAACTCCTTCGACACCTCTTTCGGTTGACCTTAAGGGTAAAAGCTAGAATTCTTAATAACAGCGAAATTCCAAAAATACGAAACATCGTATGTTAACTCATCCCTCACCCACTGGGAAAAAAATGAAGACCTCCTAATTTCTAGGAGTGTACTTTACCTTTTGGGATTTGAAAAAAACGTTAGAGATTATAGACTTCAACAGTGAACTTGCCTGTTCATTAAAAATAGGTTGAAAGATGGGGAGGTTCCATACAGCTTTTCACTGAGTTGAAGCAACAAGATACGAAAGTAAACAGTACTTATCAGTATGTTGTCATTCTACTGACAACAATCATTCACTTGACTCTGACTTCCGCACAGGTTGTCGAAACGTCAGTCACTACCACCGACAACAGTCCTTCTCAGGACTACACTCACCCGGACGATCAGACTACACCTTCACACTTATCAGTATGATGCACAAAGGAACCGCATGAAGAATTCTTCTCTATCATGTTTACGTAACAAACTGAAAATATATTCTCCGTTGTGGTACGTTCTCGTAGTTGATTAAAGATAAATGTGAAGTTTGTACTCTTAGATTCGTGATTTCTTGTTTGAGCGGCCATCGCAGCAGTTTCCATGACCAATATTTTTGTTTATTTAAGTAAAACAGACGCTGAAACTCAAAGCGGTAGCAACTTTACCATTTCACCGTGACTCACCAAGGCCAAAAATTTGTGACTTTAATTTGTCGCTTGATGTTGTCGAAGAGATATCATACAAATATTATATTCGAAGCAGTAATAACTTATGCCCCAATTAAATCTAAAAAGGAATCCCCGTTTCAAGCTTAATTATTTTTGGTTTTTCTTGTCCATTGAACGAATTTAGACAATGTCACACGCCGGAACCGTTATTAGTCGGGCGACTACGGTGGCCCAGAAGGGTCACGCATGCAAATTAAAAAGGTTGCCGCAAACTAAAAATATTACCTGCAAATTAAAAATGATGCTGCAAATTAAAAATGGTACATGTAAATTAAAAATTTCACATGCAAACTAAAAATATTACCTACAAATTAAATATAGTACATTCAAATCTAAAATGGCTCAGAAGGGTCACACATGCAAATTAAAAATGTTGCTCCTGCGAATTAAAATGAAAAGTCGTGCGCGCGCATCATGAAGGATAAGACCTGGTTCGAGTCGCACGACTTCGCCTTCAGCCTTCATCTATGTTAGCGCGGGAAAGAAAGAGATTCTAGTTGAGCGTTTTGGATGATGTTCTGCTCATTTTGTGGCGAAAAATGTGTGACTGCTGCAATCTTTTGCCATAAATGTGGAAAAATGATAAGCTCAAGTATGGATAAGGAGAAGGGTTCTCCTAGTGGCGTGCAGAAGACGACGGCGACAGCATCAAAGCCGCTCTTAACCTTCGCAACCTTCCGATCGAGGAAGAACTGAGACGATCGTTCGGAGTATCTTAAGCCATCTGCAGCGAAAAGGCTGAAAAAGGAACCGGAAAGGGTTGAAAAAGGAACCGCAAAGGGTTGAAAAAGGAACCGCAAAGGGTTGAAAAAGGAACCGCAAAGGGTTGAAAAAGAAGTTAAAGTCCAAGTTGGAATTGTAACGATGAAGGACGGCAGTCTTTCCGTGAAACGTGGAGTCACTCTCCAAGTGACTGTCTCATCCAAAAGCAATTCTCACGATTTACTAGAAAAGGCTTTAGAGTAACATTACCGCTTTAACAACAACTTAATTTCATCCACGCTTCCATCATCGTATAGATTGTTGTACCATGACAAATCTGAGGTGAAAACTCTTCCAGGTAGCGATGAACGATTTGTATTACAACGATCCAGAGAAGAAATCGATAAATCATATGCGAGGTTAACGTTTTATTTATGTTCTTCGGATGACTATCTGGACAACCTTCTGTTCGAAGATGACGATGATAAAAGTTTAGAAGAGCCTGTGTTTGTCACCGAAATCGAGGACATTCCTTCACACGACAACGACGACAGTGACAATGAAGGCAACCCATCATTAGTAACAGAGGCTCAACTGACATCATCAGAGTCACGAGAAGTGGAAAGTGGAAATGAAAGGTCGATAGTTTGCCCTAGATGCCACTCATTATTCCCCCTCTCAGTTATTGAAGGGCATGCTGATCAATGTTCCATGTGGTTACTCGACGACGAGGAACAGCCGTGTGTCAGTCAAAGTTATGGTGGTACCTCCAATGGCGTTGAGAAAACAACCACAGGGCAGGAGTTGACTGGTCAGCAACACAAGGCGGCCTTAAAGGATAAAATATCTGAATTATCAGGACAGTTGCTATCCCAGGATACGAAACGTCTTACCGTCAGACGAAAGTTTATCTGGCTAGATTTCAAGTCGGCCATGGAGACTAAAATAGATCCCAAATCATCACTTAAAGTTGTTTTCACTGGGGAGCCTGCTGTAGATGGCGGTGGACCGAAGAGAGAACTATTTTCAGGTAGGATATACACAAGTCAGCATCATGGATAAAGTAATAGATTTTGATTGTTATTTTTTGACATACTAAGAAGCGTTATAGCTCAGTCAGTTCCTCATATGTTGATATCTTCCAGGTGGATAGCTATGCTGTTACTACCCCTTTAAAAATCAAAGCAATATGATCTTTTTATACCACCAAAGTTTTACACAAGCATTTCTAAATTGCTTTCTTTTGCTTAATTCATTAAAATTTTTTTTTGTCTTATTTTGCAGAGTTGTTAATCATTGTAAAGGAAAGATTTTTTTTTGAGGGTGGGAAACTTGTTACCTCTGCAGTGGCTCTGAATGCAGGGGACTTTAAAACATGTGGAAAAAGCAATGGGGCTGGCGATATTGCAAGGTGGTCCAGCACCCAATTTCATGTCCCCAGATGTAGCATCCTATCTGGTTGGTGAGCCTCTTTCTCCATCACAAAACAAGGACCCTCTGTTAAGAAAAACTTCTGAAAGGGTAATTAATTAGCATTCCTGTATATCTGAATGAAAAAAAAATATCATATATTTTGAACTGCGGTTATAGATACGTATGATGCACGATCCATCTGGAAATCGCAAGAACACCAAAGTTCTGGAGGTAGTGGGTATGTTGGCTTAAAAACAACGAATGAGTATGTGTCTTGGACATCATTGACAGAAGAACTTGAAATTATCCATCATTCATCGAGTTGATACATGCGTCTCTTAATCGTTCGTTGTCACCTAGTAGTTGTAAGAATCAAACGTGCGTGACTTCTCACGTAAGTGGGTTACTCTTGATTTTAAGTTTAACCCTTGATTTTCATGTGACTCGTTTGATTACACTTTTACTTCTCGTTTTTCAGTGTATAATATATTACTGTTGGCCTTTGTAACGGCGTTCTTTTTCTAAGTCATCGATTGTTTCACTCCGCCCGTTCACGTCCGTCAATAGGACGAAATATCTGTAAATCGTTTGTCCTTTTTTCGTTTCCATTTTGTTTGTTAATTTTCTTAGATCTATTATAATTAAAGCCGTAATTTTTCCTTTTAGTCGGAGCCATCATTTTCATCATCACCTTCTACATAATCAGATCGATGCGTTCAATTTTCTCGTTTGACTGTGAACGAGGAATAAATTTTCTCTTTTAAAATCATCTCTCGGCTGGAGTCTGCAATAATTAGACTTTTTTCTTCAATGTGCTTGCTCAGTCGTTTGAATCTTGATCGAAGCAACCTTTGTCTCCTAACGAGAGAAAAAAAGCTGGCAAGACATTTGGAATTGTGGGATCGTGATCGTCAACCACATGGAATCTGTCTGGATATAAAAGGAATCTTTTGAAAGAAATCGTCAGCCTCACATACAGATAACACAGCAATATACATTCTATCACCGTGACAATGATACAGTGTACAAGTAAAACGCATTTCTAAATGACATCACAACCAAACAGTTCAATTCGCAGAGCAATCCTTCCATAATGGCTCAGAGGCACTACCCGGATAGTATCCGCCTCAAAAGGATTGTTTATCTTTTTCTTCACCACATCATCCTTGTTGGTGTTTCCTTGGAAAACCTGAAAGTAACCGCATGTAAATGACGGGCTTAGTTAATGTTAGAACACAAACCAACCTGAAATTTAGCTGACAGATGATTATTCAAAATATAACTCACCATGCGTTGGTTATTTTCCTCATAATCTACAATGGGTTCTTCTCCCTTTCTGTACATGACGTGATATGTCGTAACCCACCACCAGCTCTTTCCATTCCCTTGAGTGACGATATGTGTTATGCGTTTCACGTTTGGTACAAAGCTCACTTGGAACCACTGGTTACCAATATCTGTGTTTGCAGCCCAGCTTCCTCGCGTGTCGTGCAGTCGGCCCCAGCCCAACTTAACTGTGGGGTGTGTTGACGATGCTGTGAGTTGGTTGTCTGAAATCGAACCGTCTTCCATCCCCAATGGCTTAGATATACAGGCTGCTCAAAGATATTAAAAGCTATTTTAAAAAATTATTAAAATTGCAACGAGGTGGTGTAATATTTTTACGTCTCTAGAAAGATTTCTGAGCAGTTACGTCAATTAAATCAGTGAAACGTAGTCTAATTCTTGGTTTAAGAAACTTAAGACGAAAAATGTCTTGTTATCCAGGATTCTCCCTCTCCCCAACATAATCCAGATTACAAAAGACTAGATTCGCGGGGCGTTCAAGTATGTAGTTTAAGGTTACGTATTCATTTTCTTTACTTTTAGAGGAGAACTCACATTGACTATGACAAGCGGCAACATTTCCGTCACATACACACCGTGTCGCTAAGGATCCAGGGATTGGAACACATTTTCCGACAGAACATGGCGGATCTCGATCGACACACGGAGTATAGTCACGTGACAAGCTATCAAGGTAGACAGCTCCAGGTGTCACTCTCAGATCATTCGCGTACCACTTCGCCGTTTTATTGTTTAACTCGCATTTCTTCAATGAGATGTAATAGTTAATACTGAAACAATTGTAAGTGCTGTCACAAGCAGCTACACAGCTCTCGAGCCACTTTCCTTCCGATGATAAAAACACGTGACCTTTCAGGGCGCGGTCAGCCACTGACCTGGTCGTACGACAAGGAGGTTGCCCAGCGGCTTTTCCCCATGAAGACATACTCAGAAACAAACAAACGACAGTTTTGTAGAGTAACATAGATGGTGATTCAAGATTATCTAAGATAAAGAAAAAACACCGGAAACAAAATATTAGATTTTGTTTTACCATGGTCACTACCAATTTTGAAAAAAATAGATATTAATGTGCCTATTTGTGAATTACCTTTGCCCTCTTTTTCAAAGCGAGTCCGAGCGCTCTTCCTTTCATATGATTATAATGTTTCCATTCACTTGTAAATTGAACTCATTTTCACACGAATGGTTTTGCACCAGGCCTCGTTTCGAAAAAGACGCCTAAGGTAATTCGGAAATGGCCTTTTGTAGGTAGTGCTAATCTGCAATCCATTTTGTGACAACCTAACTTCCTACAACTGAACAAAATCGCCCTTTCCACTGAAGGCTAAGATTTAATAAATGAAAAAAGATATATAAATAGACCAGAACAAACATGACTAAGAGTGTTTTTAATGATCTGCTTTCTCGAGAGAGCAAGCTTCTTCTTAAACTGTGCAGTTGTCATTTTCAAAGTTCAGGATACTCGGTAGTCTCCTAATTTTTCAGGCTGCAACAAAACTCTGACATCTTAATAATGTATTCTCCTCGCCTTGTGTAATGTAATTGAGAACAGTTAAAGAACTTTGAACAACTGGTTCCGTCTGTTTACCGGGGAAAGTTGCGCCATTTGATGCTTCTAATGTATTATTTATCTATATCACTTCTTTGAATATGTGCTCTATGATTGCTTGAAAAAAGTTACGATCACGATAGTCCTTTTACGCCAAGAAAAGTTTTGAATTTTAAAAAATCATCTGGGACAATATTGAATCATAACACAGATAATACTTAATTTGAAATAAAATTCGCACAATACGGTAGTATTTCGTTTCCAAGAAAGCATTTTGCAGTTTGATGTTTAGCTTAAAAGACTGGAATCACATTTAGTTTAAAAACTATCTCTGTGAGTGATAACTATATCTTTGATGGTGCCAAACATGGATATGAAACTGACCTCTTTAAATTTAATTTGATTTCGACATTTAAAAGCAAAGCACGTAGTGGTGTTTTTCTCTCTCTAAAATGACATTGTTTGACATTACATTTAATGACTCTGCTAATAACTACGTCGATTTTCGTGTCGGTCAAGAAGAGAAATATCTGTTTTATCAAACTAACACTTTCTGAGATCAGTTTTATATTCCCTTGAGTGACTCAGTGTCTTAGTGTGACAAACTGTAACATTTCACAAAAAAAAATTTTTTTAACAATGACGTTACCGAGATGTTATACCCCTTGCAGGACACGAAAGTCTGGATTAAGTCATATTTGATGGAAAACTGAAGCTTCTTACAGCGACAGTCAAAACGAATCAAACAGGATTGAGAAAATCTCAGTTTAGTATGCCGTACCTTTGCTCCTGATCATGATGAAGTTTGCTGCCCCAGCTCGACTAGAATAGAAGCGATCCCTAGAACGAAACTACATATATAACGTTTCCAAAGTTCTCCAACGCTCAACGTTCGTTTTACTGCTTTAACTTACACTTCACTTAGTGTTTGATGAAACGTGCGTCATTTGTGTAGACGTGTTTGCTTGCTGTTCCCGCATTCGTCCCAGGTGAAGTTCTTTCGTGAAGGTACTGTTTGTAGAGAGCGTTCACAGCACGACACACAGGTTTCCTCTGAAATAAATATTGATCTTTGGGCTTCCCACAGATACCAAATTAAAAGGATTAAACGAAAAAAACTGATTCATAAGAAAGGTGGCACACAATAAAAATGTTATATTGGGAAGGAGTAAAACTGTTTTCAGCTCATCTACCACTTCAATAAATAATATTGATCGACAAACCTCCCGCAAAAACCAAATTGAAATTCTTAACTAAAACATAGGAGTCATAGGATATGTTACTTAACAATTATTCGCCGAAGGCGAGGTGAATACCGTCGAATAATTCCCGAGACGAAGTCGAGGGGATTATTCGACAATATTCACCGAACCTGAGGCGAATGATTGTTTTAGTATAATTTCAGAGCTGAACAACAGAGAAATTTCTAAAATCATAACATTTTAGTAACATTTATTAACATTTTATTTTAACATTTTATATTATCCGCGTGGAGCGGTTTATATAGCGTCATATAAGGAACCGCTCGACCAATCAGATTGCTGGAAACTCTTTGCTCAGCCCTGAAATTATACTAAACACATATAGTGTTCTATTTGGGAACTGGAAAACAAAATTGTTCTTAGCTCGTCCACAGTACCACCCACAGTTTAGTCTCCCGCAAATGCAAAATCCAAATTCCTAACGAAAACGCTTGATTAGTAAAGTGTGTCAACCAGGTATTACACGTAGCAAACGTTAAATTGCTTTCCTAATTTTTACTCTGTTAACCACATCCTTTTGAAGATATCCAATTGATGTCGGTTTTTATCCATATCGCATGCATAAGGCACAAGCAATAATTAAGTTTTACATGTGTGTCACTCTGAAAAGACGGGAAATACGTGCACTGTAAGTACCTCCAGTTGTCCCATACAAAGCCTTTGAAAAGTTTTCTAGAAGCTTCCACGCAAGGGATTACTGTGTGGTGGATGTCCTCCCTTGGGTGGGATGGGTGGTATTGGCCCTGAAAAGCCCCTATGGGGAGCGGTCATATGTATGTATGTATGTATTTACTAACCAAGAATATTTAGTAACCAGAATCTAATTTCTAGTTACTTCAAGGTACTCTGTTCATCTCTGCGGCATTTAAAACTTGCACGGTCAATGTTAACGTTGCATTTTTGGCCACAAGAAAGAGACATTTACAATCCTTTATTCTGTGCTAAAGATTGTCGGCAAACCTCAAAAAAAGGTAGCGAAAATTCGAGGTTAGCACGCCCGCGCAGAGCCCTGGGAGTAAGACACACGAAACCAGAGTTCCGCGTGGCGCGTTAACACCAATTTTTTCTGCCAATAGTTTTTGACTCGAGCGACGGACTTCGCCGTAAAGGAAGAACAGCTCGTAGTCTGGATGTGGAACAGAACGAGATCAAGAGAAGAAGCCTTTACCCTACACTTTTTTTTCTTTAAGAAGGACAAGTGGGAAGGCCAGGGATCTAAATAAATATTTTGTTTATTGATTTAGCATTTATTGATTTAGCATTCTGATAGCTTAGCTTGCTCCAAGAATATCCATCCTTTTCTGGAGCATAGTCATCATCCATTATAGATCTCTACTTTGTTGCAATCCTTAAGTTGTTGAAAAATCTATTTGAGCTTCCTCATGCCAGACTGCACTTTTCGGAAGAATTTTTAAAACAGATCAGAGATAGCCTTATTAAAACAAATTTACATTCCACATTATTATTAGCAATGAGTTCTTGAGTGCAAACTCTAAGCCTTGTGTTGATGGGATGAACTTTCATTGCAGTGGTTGTGCAAATAAAAGTTAGCAAATTTGATTAATGTACTTGTCACATAATCTATCTCTGTTTTCTAATGAATGTTCCACCTGTATCTATACAGAATTGACAGATTATCTAGATAAAATGTGAACAAAGTATAAGTTTAATCATAAAAAATAAAATTAATTTATTGATATTAATAATATTGTCAAAAAGGGCCTTAAATAAAGTATTAAGGCTGGTTTAACCAATAAAGTTATATTTAAGAAATACAGTGGTAGAAAAATAACAATTATTGATTCTTTAGACTAAAAGGGGATAGGATTTAATGCACCTCTTAAAATCTCATCATTCCTCCCCCCTCATAACATACTAAATGAATTTCAAAACTGGACCATGCGTGATTGAGATTATCAGCCTTTAAAGAAATTTTTGGCTTGGTCTGTCCAAGAATTGCAAAGATGAGCCAGAAGGTCTAACACTTGATTCAGAAGCTTTTCAGAGTTAGTTACAGCAAGTTTATTACCTTTACCACCCGATAAATTAAATCCAACTAATTCCTCAATCAGCAAATCAAAATGATATCATATGTCTCATATGCTCACAAAAAAAAAATTATCAACAGGTTTAGGAGCCTCAGTGAAGGAAAAGTTCTCCATGAAATGCTCAGATTTTTCACACCAATAACATTCCCTGTGATCTATTTACAACATTACCAAGATTTCTTGGAAAAATTTCGTGCTGGAACCAGGGTGTTGTGAGATTTCTTCATCAGATCAGACCTTCCGGAAGCTGAGATGCGCTGAATTCTGTCACCAAACAAATGCTCTTGTAAAAACGAATTTGCAGATTGCTGGATTTTTTTGGGTTTCTTTGTCTCCCTCGGCAAAACAAGCACTTTGATTTTTGCTGTTTCCTCCTGTACTGTTCCATGTTCTTCCTTTTGTTCCCCACTCTCGTCCTGCTCATCTTCACTTGAATTGTCAAAGGTCACATGACTTCGATGTTCCATTGTCTGTGATAAAAGGGTTTCCTCTGACTCATGTTGCCGGGCAACCTTGTGCAGAATCTCCATTGGTAATCTAGAGTATTCTCTCGCTCGCTTTCGTTCCTTTTGCTCACATAGCTTTTCATTTCTCTCTATTCTCATCTGTTTTTCTTTTCGTTTAGCATCAAGAATGATCTCTCTTTCCAATGTCCGTTCGCGAAGCGCACTCTCTTTGGTAGCTTTCCAAGAAACATCCTCGGGAGCATCATCATCTTGAGCAACACTCTCGTAACTTGAAGACTTCTCCGGGTTCTTGTCTACAACAGCAATAACACGATCGCTATTGTCCTTAAACTCGGTTTCGGTGACATTTTCTCTAACTGACCGAGGGCTTCCCTCGCCCGTTCGAACTTGAACTTCTTCCGAGTTTTCATCAATAAACAAGATTGATTCTGCTTCTTGATCGGCATCCTTTTCCTTCCTCTGTATAATATTTTCTTTAACTTTTGTTCCCTTGCCTTTCTTTCTCATTTTCGTTTTAATTCAAGGGCTTGAGATGAAAGGTTTTGCCAAGTACTTTTCACGTGTCTGCTCTATTTATATCAGGGAAAGACTGGGTAAAACTTATTTCATCCGGGAGTTTGATTTGAAGGATACCGCTGAGATAAAGTTCTCGACACCATTGGCGCGCAGGGTCCGACGCAGGTTGTTTGTGCTGTTTCCACAACAACTTCAATTGAGGAGAATTAATGAATATTCAGCCCTGAAAAATATTGTGGGAAAGTTAAACGGTATAACAAGACCCCTAAAAAAGTGCATGTGTCTGTGAAAAAAGGACATAGCGTGATTTTAAAACTGATTGTTGATAATTTAATAGCTTATTTTCGTTCAAAATGGAGGACATTGTGAGTGAGCTAAACTTTGATGAAGGCATTGCAGTGCCAGTGGCAAACCTAGAGAATAAACAGCTGGAAAATGAGGTAAAATCGCTTGATACAGGAAATGAATACTTTTAAAGAAAGAGAAGTTTTCCTATTAAGTCAAGCCTGTTGTCATACGAAAGTGTCAAGGATAATAAGATTTAATGTAGATTTAGATGTAGATATTGGCTGGATATATACAAGACAGGCCTCAAAATTTTAACTTGTTTTACGAGACAGTTTCTTCAATCATGGCATCTTTGAAATAAAAAAACTGTAATTTGATTGAATATCAGAGCAAATTTTGATTCTTATCGCCATGAACATTGTTCAGCTTATTGTACATTAATAAAAATCAAATTAACTCTCACCATGCCAAGAGAAATCTTAAAGCACTCATTGCGAAAACTTTTGGCTATTTTTCAAGAGCAAGTCTGTTAGTAGACCTTTGAGTGTAAGATTTTTATGATCTTATGCTTAGCAATACATGGTTTCTTTTTTTTCGAAGGGAAGGTGTGCATTAAGAATCTAGATCCATTGTGCACCTCCCAATATTTTTTCATTAGTCTGTAACTATGGAAGAACTACTGTACCTTCTCTCTTGAACTAGGAATTGGAAGAGTGTGAAACTAAATCTATTAAAACTGATTGGACCTTATTTTTATTTTCTTTAGGTAACTGAGACTCAGAAGAATATCACAACATACAAAGAACAGCTTGATGAACATGCTGACCGAATTTATGCCATGAGTGAACATCTCAGAAATGTACAGCAAGAACTACAACACACACAGGTAAATGTAAACCTAGACGTTTTGTGCTGTTAATTCTTCATGCAGTCTGTTTCTGTATTAGCATCTTGACATTCTGAATGAACTTTTTTTTTTCACAAACAGGACTTGCTTAATGCCAGGAAGAGAGAGATAGAGACCGAAAGTCACATGAAGCAGATAGGTATATCAAGGATGTAGTTTGATCCATGGGTAATATCTCATCTAATACTTCCACTCAGACCCTTAAATATCTGGTAATGCTGATGAAAAAGGGTATATGTAGTTTGATAAACTGAGAAGTTGATTCGAAACTCATGTGTATTAACTTGGCTACTATCACTGAAATGGACAATTTTTAGAAAGCGGATGTTACAGTCTCCAGCCAGCCCTTTGTAAATATACCCTCTGATGCTTTTTAAAATTTTCCACTGAGATAAATCTAGTTTTTCTCTCACAAACTGAATGATAAAAAACAAAATTCTCTTAGAAGGTAATCACTTTGTAGTTTGTAGGATTTAAATAACATAACCAAAGTAAAGCATGCGCTCTGATTGGTCAATTTAGCGTCCCATATTTGCCCAAGGATGTACGCTGCTGACATGAGCAAATGCAAAGACTATTTTTCCACACGCGCTTGTTTTTTCTGGTCACATAAGATTTGTTAAATAAAACGAAACTCTCACAACAATGTATCAATGTTATGGTATAAAACAAATGGTAAACACCACAGTGTACACTATTGAGTTATGGATACACTTGGGAGGTTTGCTAAGCACTCAAGAAGCTAGAGTTGCTCTCGGCTATCACCTCGAGCGACTCTTACACTTCTTTCATGCTTAGCAACCTCCCGTGTGCATTCATAACTCAATAGTGTGCGCTGTGGTGTTTACCATTTATTAAATATATGACAATGACAGTGTTACCTGATATTCAATTTAGCCCAGAGAGAGGAAGGAAGACTGAACAATGAGATCAGGAGGATAAACAATGAAATCAAAGATCTGACAGAAAAAAGGAACATCATTGAAGTAAGGAAACTGTTCATTGTCTAATTTTTTCCTTCTTGTTAAGTGGCTGTATTACATGTCCGATCTGGTAACTTTTGTCTACTAGAACAATATTTTCAAGAACACACAGAAGCTTGAAGATCTTAAGAGTCAGATGAACTGGGACCAAAAAGCATTAGAAGCATGGCTGGAAGAATCTGCAAGGAAAGATGAAGATACGTTGACACTTCAAAAGTACACTCGTTCAGATGAAGGCAAAGTGAAGGTCAGGAACCATTATATAAAGCATTAATTTACTACTCTTGCGACTAAGAGCTGAAGATTACATTCATGTAGCTCCATTTTTGGGAAGTAAAGGAACCCATTAAATTCTCAGTAGCAGAGGTGTGCTGCCCCATTCTCCAAATCCTGACCCAATTTCAAACCAAGACGTGCCATTTTCCGTGCCTTTTTTTTTTACCTGTTCCCTGTTGTTTGAAGATTGAATAACCGTATATGACAAATCTGTATCTGGTGGATAGTGCATTATGTTTTGCTATCATTTATCTATTTGATAGTGATTTTTCCATTGGATAGCATCATCCACCTTTTATATAACTGGGCCCTGGTGTCTAGAATCTATACCCTTTTCAGTCCAAACTGTGTTGGTTAAATCAATGCAAAACAGGATCAAGCTGGCCATTTGCCAAAGTTTTTGGGGTGGTATAACACGCCATCAAACAATTTCAGTGCAAGTTGAACATAACAATTGGGTTGCACGCTACTGTTATCTGGTCCATGAAACCAAACTGGCTAATACTTACAATGTGATGGCTTCAAATTGCTTTCAAAACTTACCTTGATCTTTTTCATTATTAGGAATTAACACTGAGGATGGAAAGAATGACAGATGATGCAACTAAGAAGAAAAGGGAACTGGAGCATGAATTAACTCTTACCATGACAGCTCAGGTCAGTTACACAAAGAAATGATTTTCTGTTGATACTGTTGTTAACAGTGCAAAGAGATGTGGAATGTGTATGAATCTGGTTTTAAGATTTTGGAAACTCAGAAAGGTTGACTCAATTTTTTTTTTTGCAGACAAAAATAGCTGTGTCAACAATAACAACTTTATTCCTCCTTATTCTTGAGAAGATTGAATTAACATCAAATAAAAAATTAAAACTAAGAGGATGTTGGCTTCCTTAAATAACAAGAAGGTTAACAAGGCTAGGAAGCCAAATTGCATAGAATTAATTGGAATATTAGGGTCGGGACACACACATATGTACACACACACATGTACACACACACACACATGTACACACACACACATGTACACACACACACACGCATGTACACACACATGTACACACACACACACATGCATGTACACACACACACATGTACACACACACATGTACACACACATGTGTACACACACACATGTACACACACACATGTACACACACACATATACACACACATGTACACACACACATGTACACACACACACATGAACACACACACATGTACACACATACGTACACACACACGCACATGTACACACACACACACACACACAGAATTGAACTATAAATAATTATGACTAAATGAAATTTAGAAGGCATGGAAAAAATATTATATATATAATAGAAATGAAATCCTGAACAATTATGATAAAAGAATAAAGTGTAGAGCAACAAATAAATCGCAGGAATAGCTAGGATGAAACTGATTACTCTGGGGAAAGAAAAAAACCAGGGTATCGTTAATACTGGCACAGTACTTCATGTTTAATTTTTTTTTTAATTTACTGAAAGGGGTTGACTTTATATCTTTCCCAAGAGAGTTCCATACCTTTGGTCCTTGAAAGCAAATATTAAAAATTCCATAGTTTGCTGTAGCTTGAGGCAGGTAATAAGATTGATTTGCTGCACTTCGTGTATTGTAGTTATGGATACTAAGTACTGAATTAAAGAAGCTATCAAAATAGGAAGGTAATAACTCACATCTGAGTGCATGCATTTCATTAAGTTGTGTAAGCTTGTCTGAAATATCATTTCAACCACCAGACATTTGATAAGAAAAAATTAAAATTTAGGGAAAGTTTCAAAATTTTGTACATTGTTGTTGACCTGAGTACTTTGATTCTGAAATGTTTAGATCGAATTAGACAAGACAGCTGAAGAGTTCCGCAAGGCACACAGTGAGAGACAAGATCTGCTGCGTCAGTGGGAGAACACCATTGAACAGATGCAGAAGAGAGACAGGGAAATGGATCAACTGGCTGTAGTAAGTATTTGTCCAACCTCCAGTGAGGTCATCAGTGGAATCTAATGTCAACTGAAATGTTAAATGAAACTCATTATTCTTCAATAATTTACAGTCATTTAACTCTTTGAATACTAAGAGTGACCAGCATCTAATTTCTCCATACAGTATTACTGCTGAATCATTCATTCAGATCATGAAAATATACTTTAGGAATGGTCAACAAATTAAATGTAAGAAGCTTTGACTGTATAACAAATTGTCCTTATCAAAACTAAAGGAAAGGTGCAGAGCATAGTTTGGAGAATATGGTTACTGATGTTTGGGCATAAAAGGTCAACTAATGTTTGACTAATTTAGGAATTTGTACATTTTATTTCTTTTTAGCTTTTTGGGCTGGTTAAATAGCATTATACCTTTCATATGTTAGAAGTAGCATTAAGGTATATCCTTTAAGATATTAATGGTTGTTGTTTTTCAGAAACTTGCTGAAGTTAAACTAGAGGTCAGAGACAGAGAAGAGCAGGTCCAAGAAAAACAGGTGATAACATACTCTGAATAGAAAGTAATTCCAGGTCAATTTAACAAAGTGGGCATAAGCCAGACAGGATATACACTATATCTTAGGATAAACC